TCTGGAGTCCAGACGTGGACTCTGATCACAAAACAACGCTCTGGGGACGCGGGCCAGACTGACCCGAGAAGACCTCTCTCGGCCTGAGGGCACGTGCGGACGCGCTCGCTACATAATCCTGTTATAAAAAAAATGTTAAAAGGGGGAGAGAGGGGGACAAAACACAGTTTGCCACGCACCACGTTGGGCCAACTGCTTGTTGTGTCACCGCTACACATCCAGGTGTACATGCACTTTCTCCCCCGGCTCTTTTCTCCCCCGCCTTTGCCCTCCCTGACCCCCGCGCCTGTGTCGGTCCCCCTCGACCCCGTTCGACCAGCTGGGACAACAGATGAAAGGCGTCACGGGAGCCGACAGAGCGGCCGGCGTAACGCGTTGATCTGATATGGACTGGCACGGCAGCTGAGGCGATGACCTTTACAGTCGCAGACCAGAGAGCAGAAATCGGTTTGTTTTTTTGTTTAATTTGAATAAAGGAGGAGTTTGGGGAGTTATCTCAGGAAAATGTGAAAGGTTTGAGATTTTTGAGCCCGGCTACCACTCAAAATTACTAAAAACAAGTAAAAACTATAAAGATTATCAACTGGAAAAGATTCTATGTGAAATTTCATCTTATAAAAATGGACAACTCCTCATGGAAAAATGTGTTTTGATACCGATTCATTGCTGATTTTCTGGAATAAGCAGAAGACGACAGTTTTGTAATTGTTCAGTGTTGTTTCTGCTTGGACACAAATGCAAACTAAACATGAGTAAAAGTTAGACTTTTTCCTTATTCATATTGTAGTCTTCTTTTTTTTCCTTGGAAGGAAACACAAATCATAAAATATGCAAGTAGTCTGTTAAAGTTAAGCCCTTCGACACAAAAGACTGAAAAATAACACATTTGTGGTGACTTTCACAGCTATGAACAGGAACTTTGGTATCAGAGAACCCCAGGTTTTGCTAACATCTTGGAGCTGTCCAATCATAGACTCTTGTGTAAAAAGTCACTTAAACATAAAGCTTAATTATGCCTATTATAAAGCTTAAACATAAAGTCTTATTTTTATCATGGAAAGGTAGTTGCTCATTTCCTGAAATGCCAAATGAAAAGAATCTTTTAGACTGATGGGACCAGTTGCATAAGATGGAAACCGTAGCTACGAATTCTGATACTGCGTTTATTTTTGTCTTACTATTCTAATATAAATAAATTTAGCATCTAGTGTAGTTTTTTTTAAAGCAACACTTACACAATAGCTGTTTATCTAAAAAGAATGTTCTGTATTAAAGCACCAAACTGACATGAAAAAATAATTACCCAGCAATCCGGGCAAAACCAAAAAAACTTTTCCTTAGCATGACATGCTATCAATCTAATTGCTGCCTATTCTGGTAATCAGTTGTTTGCTGTTGGTTTAAAATAGAATGTTTCATCTCTCTGTTGATGGTCCTCTTTTATGAGGCTAAACTGTTCAGTGGAGCGGCTTACACAGCTGCTATCCTAAGCTAATTGTGCATTTCTCTCATTTTAATTTTTCTTCCACGTCGTTTTTCTCTTAACCTATTGAATTTCCCAGCTGCTAATGGTTAGCTATGCTACGTTGCTAGCTAGTTGACTGCGTTAGCTACTCTGCCGCTGCAAACACATAAATAGATAACAGAACAGATCGTCCTCGGCCTATATGTTACTTTTGTGTTGGAGCAGAGAGATGCAAGTTATGTGCTTGGATATACTGTTTCATGCTAAGTGTAAATGCTAGTGCCGCTAGTGCTAAGTAGAGTAGGCTTTTTTGTTAAAAAAAAAAAAGTCCATATGTTAAAAATCAACCAATTGAATAACAATAATAATAATAATAATACACACACACACACACACACACATATATTTGCTCCAGTTTCCACCTTGATTAAAAAGTGAAAGGTAAGTGACAATTTACACATCTCCATGTTCTACAGTTGCCATGAAATGCTCATCATACATCTTAAAGATCAAAAGAGTGACACCTCCTGCAAACTAAACGAGGGTGTTCTGATTGACAAAAAAACCCAACTATCATATAAAAAAACCACAGGCAGACTGGACATCTGGGGCTTTCAGAGATACCACAAATAGTTTCCTCTGTCGGTCAGATTGGGGGCTTGAAACCAAAATTGCTTTGTGTGCAAGCCTAATGGTTAATTTTTTTAACATCTGTGTGTTAACATATCTGGACATTTAAGAGGCAAAGGGACTGCTGCTTGCAACACACATGCATGGGGAGCGAACGGGGGGGGGGCGAGGGGGTCTTGTTACGAGAAGCACATGCCTCAGACTGGCCCATAAATTCATGACAGTCTGGAAATAGACCTGTAAATATAGACGGAACCTGCCGCCGAGGTGGGAATGGCGAGGGAAAAGGGCAGCCTCGTACCATCGCTCCATTCCCTGTTCTGCCCTGCCAGCTTCCTGTGCGATAACACCGACTCGCACCTAAGCTAACCCTTTACCACCCAACAGCCACTCTTAAAAGGGAGGGTGAAAGGGGGGGGGGGTTCCATTCACTAGCACCGGAATATGAAAACCACCTGATAGCGGTAGTACTTGTGAATACCACAAACATGTGAGTACAGAGTTGGATGTTATGTTTAATAGAGGAAACTATCTAATAGATCTTCTTCCTCGTTTTTCAGCTTTAGAAAAAGTTTTTAAAAAAACTAAACAAAACAAAAAGCATGAATGGATTTGTTTAAAAATGCAGTTTGAGGGCACACCCACAGATTTAGGAGGCAAAAATGGAACTTCCGCCTTAATAAATGCCTTCAAAATCATCAACTCAATAATAAATAAACTAATTATAGTAGCTCTTTATATAAGAAATTTTTAAAAAGTTCCGATATTTGGATGAGCTGATTTATAACGGGGCATTTTGAACAAAGAATTTGACTTTTTAATTGAAAAAAAAAGACAAAAATGGGCAATTTCCAGTCCTTTTAGGTATTTGTTTACATCTGACTCAGATAATGAGCGGATCGCTCCCACAGGGAGGCTCTGACCTCTGGCTTCCAGCCTCAGACTGGAACCACAATCTGAGGTGTGATTACTCCCTTCTTTGTGCTTCATCCAATAATCCTCCCGGCGTTTCATAGATTCAAACTGAATGCTCCCTCCAGCTGGGTGGAAATGCGGCCTTCACCCCCCCTCCCCCTTCCCTCCCTCCCTATCTCCTCTGGCTCAGGGATCCAGGTGTGCCTCTATCTGTTCATCGCGGCAGCTGAGAGGAAGTGCATTCCTGAGTGATGGTGATGCCCCAATTTGTGCCTCGACACGCTCCCGCCGCAATTACAGCGCCGCATCAAAGGGCGGCCCGCCGACTCGACGCACACACCCGAGTACGACCAAAACATTTCTTAGCGTTACCTTAAGGAACCCGATGCCAACCGAAGCTCCAAAGTCGCCACAAACGGCGGGATTTGTCCCAGTGGAATGAAAAAGACACCGTCTTACAGTGTTTAGATTAATCAACCCGATGGGTTCTTAACAGTTTTGATCGATTCTGTAGTAAGAAATCCAGAAGAAGACTGAGGCTTTCTGAGAGCTGCTCTCAAATGAGGCAAAATAAAGACAAACAGCAGGCATTGGCTTTGCCCTCCAGGGAATAACAAAGAATGTGAGCTTTATGAGGGATTTGAAAGTGGAAAACACCTTAAAACGACTATAATGGCCGCTTCCACCTGGGCCACAACCCCATCGGTTCTGCTCCAACGGCGTGGACAGAACGGATGCTAATTGAGCTTGGATAAACTGACAAAAAACCACACAAAAAAAACGAAAAGGCAGTAGGTGCTGTGCTGCGGGTCCAGTTTTCTCAGTTTTTTCTGCAAGTCTTTCTTTAAAAGCCCTCCTTCTCCTGCCTCATCACTTCTAACTTCATGGAAACAAGCTGCTTTCTGGTCTGTAAAACGGCTAATAACCAGACAGCCGAGCTCTTCTGTCTGATGTGGGAAAAACTAAACATCCACCTCTTAAATAACCTCATTCTGGGTGCTTGTACTGGCAGTTGGTTAAAGGCAGTTGAGGGCACCGTTAGAGGGTTTTGTCTGGGGTCCTGCTCTTTTCAGACGCAACTTTCAATGCGAAATTCAAACTCGGAGCCACGCAAAACCCCTTTCTGACACCTGGACGACCGCGGCTCCTTTGATCTGAGCTTGCTGCTCCGACAGAAACACATGGCGGAACTCGGTGGGTTTGTCTGAGCGAAGGGCGCCTTACTACACGCTCGCACGCCGTGTTTTGCCCTCACGCTACCTGCTCTGTTCAATACAAATAAGCGTGTTTCCAGTACGCAGAACTGTGTCTCAAGTGACAGGCTTTACACGGCAGACAAAAGGCTTTAAAAAAAACACACACACACACACACACACACGGAAACGCCCACGCACATAGACACACACACGCCAGCGCGCCCTTCGTACATGCTGACACAAACAAAAACAGCGGCGTGTGTGCAGACGGGGCACAGAGACACGCCGCAGCCCGGCTCCAGCTCTCTCTCTTTTTTTTTTCCTGTTCTTTTTTCGGGCGATTCAGACTCCAGCTGACTTAAGATAAACCCGCTATTCGTTCAGAAAAGCAGATCGTCTGACAGCCTGCCGGCCTCAGAACGAGCCGCGTGCCGGCGCCACCTCCTGCTGCGCCGCCGTTGCAGACCGCGGGCTCCGGCTCCCTGGACAGATGCCTTCAAAAGGCAACAGCTGGAGAAGCCTCGTCGACATCACAGGGGCTCGAATCTAACGCCGATCTGCTGGAGAAGCTGCGCGTTTACGCCAAGCGGCTTAAAATAACAGCAGTCTGGGTTATTTTGGGTTTCAGTGATGGAATAAATATAACACTACCCCCCTCACCCCCATTTAAAAAAAATTTTTTTTTACTTCCTCCATAGTAGAATCTAAAGCAAAAGCTGTGTTTTCTGTAAACTCAGTGTCAGCCAGCTCTGCGTGGCAACGATTTCTACCTAAGGTGTACATCAAACTGGTCTTTACTCACCCTTGGTTGTCGTGGTGACTCCGTCTGATTTGGTGAAGTCTATACTGGCGTAGGCTCCGTTCTCCGGCAGGGGCGCCATCCCCGCCGCCACGCCGCCTGCCCCCGACGCCGCGGCGCCCGCGGCGCTCCCGTCCTCCCTCAGCTCCAGGGCGATGTAGTTGAGGCCGTTCTGGTAGCCCACGGACATGTTTCTGCACATCCGGATGCCCGGGGCCGCCGGGGAGGCAGGCGCCGCGCCGGCGTCTGCGGGCCGCTGCTGGGAGTGATGGGACGGCGAGGGCCCCTCCACGGACATCCACGCGCTGTCGAAAGAGGCCGAGCTGGCCCACCTGGACGTCTGTCCCTCTGCGAGATAAGAGCCGTTGGAGGTGGCGGGGTTCGCCAGTGAGGGGTGGGTGGAGGAGGACGAGGGGCCGAGAGCTCCCCCGGGGGGGTTTGTAGTGGAGGAGGTGGAGGAGAACGTCTCTGAGCTGTGTCTCCGTCGGCCTTGGAGGTCGGCTCGCACCACCTTGGGCTCCGGCTGGTGCGCGGGCGCCCGGCCGGGGCTCGGCGGGGGGGAGATAGGCGGGGGGGGGGAGGAGGAGGAGGGGGCGTGGCCGTAGTGCCCCTCCATCACGCAGAGATGCTGCAGCATGGCCGTCGGGCTGGTCTGGGCCCTCTCGCCTCGGCCCAGGTTAAAGGTCATGTCCGTGTAGTCGTCACCGACCGAACGCCAGTGGCCCCCCGCCTGTACCCCGGGGGAGGCCAGCCCCCCGGAGTTGGCGACCAGGGGGCGGATGTAGCTGGGCGGGTTCCAGGGCGCCACGAGGCTGGGCCTGGGCGACTGGCTCTTCCCCTTGTCCGGCTGCTCGGAGCCCACCTCCACGCTCATGTAGTCCTGGGGGGGGGAGCAGCGGCGGGCGCCGGGGCCCGGGGCGGGGGCCTCGTCCTGGGCGGAGAGCGGGTAGGCGGGGGGCTGCTGCTGGTGCGGGAAGTGCTCGCCAAACTCGATGTTGATGTACTCCCCCGGACTGGAGGGCCGCTCGGAGGATCTGCCGGGGGCCGGGGCCAGAGCAGAGGGGCCCGCGGCCACCGGGGGGGGCTCACTGACCCGCAGCGGGCCGTGGAAACTCCTCCTGCCCAAAGGCAGGCGGGTGGGCCTCACGACGCGCCGGTCAGCCATTGCTGCCGTCGTATGGTGGGCTCCGTAAGGCGGCGGGGGGTGGGAGGGGGCGGAGGTGCTACTTCCCCCCCCGCCCCGCTTTTCCGGGATGGACACAGAGGCGGTCGCAACTGACGAGTACACTGGCTTGGCAGGAGAGCTCATAGGTACGTACTCCCCATCCTCCTTCTCATCTCTCTCTCGGGAGGGGGTCTTGTAGGAGCGAGGGAGGGAGAAATAAGGGCTGTAGGACTTGAGGGATCCCTCAGGAGTGGCGGGCGTGTAATAACTGCCGCCCCCTTCGTTTAGGAGCTTGCCCACCCCCCCGCCGCCGCTGTAGGACATGTCCATGTACTCCCCGTTCTCCGGCCGCTCCGCTATGCTGTCGCCCCGGGCGACTCCGGCCGCGCTGGGGGAGGCCTGCACCGGGGAGGGGGAGCCCCCCCCGCCGGGGAGCATCATCATGTAGCCGTGAGAGTCCGTGGAGGGCTGGGGCGGGTGGGGCGAGCGGGTGGCCAGAGCCGGGCTGTGGAGCTGAGGCGAGTGGGAGGCGGGGTGGTGGGGGTGAGGGCTGGCTTGCATAGGCATGTAGTCGGGGGGGGTGTCCCGGGGCGACGCGGCCACGCCGCACATCATGGGCATGTAGCCGCAGTCTTCCTTGGCCGAGGAGGAGAGGGGGGGGCGCTCGGCGCCGGCCTCCGTCCGGGACAGCGTGGTGGGGGGCCGGCTCTGCTGGCTGTGCTCGGAGCAGGAGCTGTAGTCGGAGCGCAGGGAGGAGGTGGAGGAGGACGGCCCGCCGCGGAGCAGCCCGCCGCCGAAGGGCAGCGCCGCGTCGGCGCCCTCCTCCAGCGAGAAGTTGGTCTGAGTCATCTTCTGGTACACCGCCACTCCCGTGGCGCCGCCGCCGCCGGGCCGGGTGAAGGAGTGCGTCCTCCGGCGCAGCGAGGACGAGGAGGAGAAGCGCTCGTCCTCGGCCGCCGGCGTGCCCTCCTCCCGCGGCGTGTCGCCGCCGCTGGCGCTGCCCGAGCCCGCGCTGCTGCCGAACATCTCCCGGTTCCAGCCCATGGCCATGTAGTCGTTCAGGCAGTTCTCCTCCCGGATGGGCGGCGTGTTGCCCAGGGAGTCCGGCGTGTTGCTCCGCACCCGGAAGTACCTGAAGTCGCCGGGGCTGGAGCCGTACTCGTCCGAGGAGTTGAAGCCGCCGTCGGACGGCGAGCCGCAGATGGAGGCGCTGGATGGGCGCGTGAGCGTGTCCGAGACGGAGCCGTGGCCGCTGCTGGAGGACACGCTCACGGGGCTGGTGGTGGAGGGGAAGTGGGAGACGGGCAGCGAGGCGGAGCGGGCGTGGAAGCTGGACGCGGCCCCCGGGACGGCCCGGACGTAGCGCCCGCCGCCCGTGCTGGTGCCCGCGTTGCCCGTGGCCACGCCGCCTGCGCCGCCGCCCCCGCCGTCCGGCCGGCCGTGGAGGGCCCGCGCCGAGTTGAGGTGCACCAGGCTCCCCGTGGCCGAGCGGAACGGCCGGTTCATGGTGCCCTCGCCCTCGCTGGACGTGCGGAAGCGGTAGCCGCTGGCCCCGGAGCTTTTGCTGGAGGGCGGCGTGCCCACCACCGACTCGGTCCGGGACCGGCGCTGCAGCCCCGTCTGGCTGGGCGGCAGGTTGCCCAGGTGGCGGCGCGTGGTGATGAAGGACATGGGGTTGGAGCCCGAGGACTGGCTCTTGCTCCTCGGCCGAAACTCGGCGAACGCCTTCAGGGCCTTCATGGTCTCCAGGATGGTCTCGTGCATGTTCTGGGCCACGACCGAATCGTCCACCTGCATCCATATCTCCCCGGGGCCGATGGAAGAGGAGCGGCCCACCTCGATGAAGAAGAAGCTCTCCGAGTGGCCGCAGCGGCGGATGTTCATCAGCTGGAGGTTGACGCAGGGCGTCTCGGAGTTCAACTTGACCAGGTGAACGGTTTTGGTTGAGAGGCAGAGCCGGTAAACACCCGTGAGGTTTTTAGTCTGACCTAGCCCTTTAGGTTTCACATTAACCTGCCACACCTCCTTGAACACAGTACCGGGGGTGACCGTACCGTACCCGTCGTCCAGATCGTCGGAGTCCAGGTGCCCCCTCTTGCCCTCGCTCATCAGCTCACTGACAGCCACGTACCAGTCCTCCTGCTCCTGCTCGTTTTCAGCCACGATAGCGAAGTACTCGTCCTTAGTGTACAGGGCAATGAGGTGTTTGTTTTTCGAATCCGCCCTCTTGTTCACCGTGAAGCACTGGTAGAGGTAAATGACCCTCTTCGGCGGAGACGGGGCCACCGCTCCGCCGCTCGCGGCGGCGGCCGAGCGCAGGCTGTTCCTGAATTTCTTCTCGCTGTCGTAGTACTCCAAGCGGCTCGGGCCGAGGTGGCTGGCGGCCCGGAGCACGAAAAACCGCTTGTGTCCGTGTTTCTGCTTCCTCAGATAGCCGCACTTTCGAATGTCGTCGACGACGTCCGGGGCGCTCGCGACGCTCACCGCCGCGTATACATGGCCGCCGCCGCTTCCGCTGCCGCAAGCGGCGGCGGAAGCGGCGGGGTCCTCGGCGGCGTGTACCTGGCTGAGAGAGGAGGAGGAGGCTTTCCTGCCCGGAGACTCGGCGACGCTTTCCCCGGAAAGGTGCTGCTGTGGAGCCAGCTGGTAGTGATGGTGCTGCTGTTGATCCTTTGGCGACTGGTGGTGGCTGAGGTTGAGGTGGTGGTGGTGGTGGAGGAGGTGGTTGGAGGGCGGCAAATGCTGGTGGAAGCGCGAGCCTCCCCCTCCGCCGCCGCTGATATTAATTAACGGGGAAGGGGGTTCCCCGACCAAGCCGTCTCCGTTCGCGTTGGCGGCCGCAGGTTTCGTCCCCACGTCCCTCTGCTGGGTCTCCACCATCAACATCGCAGCCTTGCCCTCCTGGTAGTTCGTGAAATTCGCCATCGGAGAACACAATCAAAGGTCACTTTACTTGCAGGCTAATCCGAGTAGACCTAGACCCCATTCTTGTTTTGGGAGATGTGTGCTCCCGAGTCCGGCTAGGCCAGCTAACGTTGACTCGCTCAGATGTGCAATCCTCCCAGACCGGCTTTGTTACTCCGCCTCAAAAAAACGAGTCCTTTTGCCCTTTCAGCGGCGAGGTAGGTATTCCAGTCGGGGCTTTTTTCCTCAAAATAAAGCCTGCCGTAAACAACATGACCACGCTCAGCCGTGTTTCTGTAGTCGGGAGGATCCGGCTAGGTCGGTTAGCAATGCGCTCCCTTCTACTACTTTACACATCTCTACAGGCCACAGCACAAACAACACATGACTCTCTGCGTCACCGAGCAAACGGGAGGAACAAAGACTCAGACGCGGGACGTGATTGGTCACTTGTGTTGACTGGCATTTCTTGACAGGTGCCTTGACCAATTAATCTAAGCTATTAGTGTTTGCGTCAATAGCCCTGGCCAATCACGTACCGCAGAGTTTGAAGAAGTTTACAAATAGGCGGCGACTTTTCAGGCTTATCCGGAGCCTGTTGTTAGGCGCTCCAGCAGCCGTTTGGGTATAGAAACTGATCTCGTACTACCACCCTGGTAGTACCTACCTGCTATGTTATTTTCCCGTCTATTTATTTTTTTAAAAATATTAAATGAAGTCTACAAAAATCTCCCATGCATTGCAAATAAAATATACTAAGAGACTCAGATGGTTTTTATTTTTACTAAAGAAAAACATATTTTAATATCTTAATCCACATCAACATGGAAATGATTACTAAACATTGGTTCATTAATGATAATGATGATTTGAAATAGACATTTTTAAGATAATTTTTCAGTTTTACAAGGTACTAAGTATTTCTACACTGGTTTAATTAAACTGGACTTGAAAAGTATCGATCAACGTGTATTTAAACCTACAAAAAATAGGGGCGTGAACCCCATTTGAACTCCCTTTCACCTTTTAGATTTCTGCTTTTTAAGCCCAGGGTGGCTGTGTTGGACTGGGCAATTTCCGAGAGAGCGTGTATATGTGACAACAGGGACTTAGGCCCTCTGTTGGGTCTGCAAAGCGGAGTGGATGAGGACTACCCTCTCTGCCCAGGGGAGGTATCTGTTTTCCCGCATAGCTGGAGAAAACGCTACGCGCGGCTTTTCGAGCCTCTGCTACACTCGCAACAATTTACTTGACCTTCTTTTCCTAAGCACCTTCTTGTGTAATGAGCAGGATCATGTGCTGTGCAGCTGGCCCTTGTGGGAATCAGACCCTCTACTCTACGCAAGACCACCTGTCTGCCTCTGAATGTGTCCTAGTACATGACAGATTCATAAAAAGTCATCCAAGGCAATTACAGTTTACTCATGTGACAGCGTACCGCATTTAACCATACGTGTCAACGATATAACCTCAATATGTTGCTTTGTTTCCCTGGTTTCTTAAAGAGAAAGAGAGGGCTAGGGGCAAAATAATGGACCTGTGTCCTGGCTGGGTGTTCATTCAGGCCAATGAATGTCTTTCTGTTCCAACTTTGTGCAACGCGGGGAAACATTGGCCTTCTTGCGTCCTGCTTGAGGTGAATGTCGTCATCAGGGATAGCACTTCTCCCTCCATCAGCACGACCAGATTTTTTGTTACGACACCGCCCTGTCCGTGGACTTGATTTGCAATTAGTACGCGTAGAACACTTCTTTCTATAGTGCCTAATCTATTGCGCGCGTATGGAGCGAGAGAGTATTTAAGTAGCTCCACCTCTGCAAGTGCTTACAGTTGTCATTGAGTGTAAGTATAATCGGTCTCATAAAGCCAGCCTGTGCTTTCCACATCAGCATGTCCACATGATGCTGATGATACTAGTGATGTCATCTGCTCTCATTCCCCCAAGTCCCTCTGGTGCTGTTTTGAAGATATCGGGATGAAATCTGAAAATGTACCCAAGAAAATGTGTTTAATATGCCATTCAGAGCTTTTGCGGTATGGTTTCAGTACACTCCGTTTCCCTGTACATTAAGCAAGCAATATAGGAAAACAATTAGCAAACAAGATCCTTGAAAATGATTCGACTAAAAGGTAAAAATTCACACCAAGTCTTTCAGACACGTTGGCATGAGTCCTGTGTGGATCTCTGCGTTTGATTCAAGGAACAGTGTCACGTTATAAGCTTCTACTGATCTTATTGATCTTTTTTCTTCTCTTAATTCCTGTATGTGTATTTAAGATTGCCACTCAAAGTCAAAATCAGTCAACGTCAATCGAGATGGAGACCATGAAGTGCTCACTGTGATCATGCACGGACTCTTGTCCTTGTTATCTTTGGGGAAAAAAACTTTTAAGGAGTATCAGACAAGAATGAAGATTGAATGGGAATATCAATTTTTTTTTGTTTTGTTTTGTGTATTTGCTTGAATTGGACAGATTAGCCTCACCCGAGTTTGACGGGAACTACAAAATCTAAATGTTTACACAAAGATAGAAAGAGCATTTTTAGTTTGCAAAGCAGCCGATTAGACAATGACGGGGTCAAAAAATGGGAAAGACATGTTCTTTTTTAGAGCAAGCTAGCTGCAAAATTACACAAAAGAAAAGCACAGAAATGCCCAGGATTTTGTATAAGTTTCTAATCTTTATAAAACGTATTATTTCACCGTCATGAATAATACCAAGGGGATATCAAGACATGGGGACTGACACATAAAAACACAAATGATCAGCCAAGCAAGAGCAAAACAAAACCTCTCCTTAAATCAATTTGATTTCTTAGCTTTTTTCCCCCTCCTGTCTGTACTCAGGGATGCATCAGTAGTAAATATCTCAACCAAATGAATTAGGATATATTTACACCCTGAAAGGGATGCTTCTCTGTGTTGAGGTAATGTTTTCTTCATATGGTTTCTCTAAGAAACGTCCAGACTTTCCGACTCTGTTTGGACAAGTCGATTTTAACCCTAAAGAAACATATATTTTGCACAATAGATCAGGTCTGTGTCAGGTCTACGTGGGGTCTGGCTTTTGGAAAACATATCATCATATCAACTCTGTGAATCCTCAACGCTTGAAGATGCCGTTATGACGTCGGAAATAAAATCCGCCTACATATTGTCTCACAGTGACTGCTGGTTTTCAGAGCAAGGCCCCTCGTTTCTGTCCAGTATGAAACCGGTCAAACCTGCAAAAAAAACCCTCGAGGTTTCATCCTTTCAGCTGCCAAACTCTGCGTGTGTGTGTGTGTGTGTGTGAGCGAGTGAACTCATGTAGCCTTCCACCTTTTACCCGGTTTTGTGTCACAAGCTCACAAATTCCTCACGACCCCAAACCGCCGACTCTCCTGTGAGAGGAGCACAACAATACCTGGGTTTAACGTTTAAACACCAACATCCCGCCGTGGCAGCGACTCACTTTGTACAAAACACACTTATTTGATCTTATTTTTTAGGCTTTTCTTATTTGTAAGGAAGCATTTTGTTGCCATGGAATTGAGCATTTTCACTTGGTGTGTGTGTATTGTTTGCTTTTCTTTCTATTCCCATGCAAATGAACTTGGGCTCTTTCTGGGAGGAGTGGCTCAGATGTGCACGCACACTTACAGACAGCATGGAAACACAGTAGACAGCGGTATGACTGGATTAATTCATTCAAAAGAGCTTTTGTAATGGCACGACGGTTCGAAAGGAGCAAGCTCAAACAACCCCAGGGCATAAAGGAAAAGATTGAATGTGAATAAAACAAAAATCCATTTTAAAAAGTAACTGTAACTGCAATATTGTGCTTGTTAAAATCATATTTAAAAATGAGCGCATATTACAGCTATGTTTTTGTCTAGGATGAGTAGTCTTATCTAAGCTGCTCTAACTTGCTGTTTCTCTCTCAGGCTTCTTTTTGTCTTTGACTGAGGGTGACCATGAGGCAGAGTCCTCTGCTGGTCAGAGCTGTTCCCTGCAGTTTGGCTTCTGCAACTGAATGCAATAGTGCTCAGAACAAAGGACCACAGCCGACAAAGAAAAAAAAACCCACAAAACACAAAGAAGGACACGCTTCCCATTCTTACAGCCTCGTTTGTCTGATTTCAGACACTGACCTTGCAATTTAAAAGAAAAACAATGAGAATAAATGATTGAAATTCTTCATGTTTTTTAAATTCTTTTAACATCTTTTTTTTTGTGCTTTTCTTTGTGTGAGCAGGAATTGGTGTGTTTAAATTGGTCATGGAAATTAATTGGATTTCTTGTGCTTTGGGATCTGTTATCACAATCTTTAAATAGTAATGAGAAGAAGATTTAATTTATTATAATACCTGATTTCACAAGGCACACAGAGTCACCAGTTGGATTTATTTGGCAAATGATATGCATTTAATCAGTCTAAACACTTTACTTGGAACATTTTAAGTTGTAATGTATAAGCCTAATTTCCATAAATGTTTTTGATATTTTCTTTAAAAAAACAAACTTGTGTGGCCTTGAGTTATTTATGACTGACTTCCTTTATATTTAAATGGATCAAACTTGATTTGACAGTTGACAAGGGCAAGACACTTAAAAAGGTTAAGCAAGAGACTAAAAAGACAGAATCATTTGTAGAATTTACAGGTAACTGAGGGCGTTCGGGTGGTTTGAAAAGGCACATTTTCCAAAAGACTAACTACTTTGTGCCAATTAAACAGAATAATAAAAACATTCTTACCTACTAAGCACAGTGAGGAGGTTACAATTGTAAGAGTCTAGCTGGAATTTTCTAAAAACAGGAAATGTTTTGTTCAAGAAAGTCAATAAAACCTTTTTCGTTTGAATTTGTGCCATAAAGATCAGATGAATGAAGATTCTTTTCCACTGCACACATGTTAAGTTATCTCTATGAGTTACAGATTTTGTGGATTTATTACCTTAAAAAGCTTCTATTTTTCAAGAATTTCTTTATCTATGGATGCAAAATGGATCCCTGAATATGTGTTTATGTTTACATAAAGTCTACCTTGGATTCCTGATAGCCTCCTGTGACTGAAGAGTTTCTCACAGGCTCAAAATTACTATGAATTATTACTACCTATTATATTTACGGGAAATATTAGTTTCCATTTGACTTGTTTCAATACTTTTGCTTAGTACACTATTTTTTTTTTATCTTAAAGGTCAGATAAAAACCAAAAAAGAAGACAGATGATTTTGGATGGAAGGATTCATATCATGTAAAACATCTATTCATATATATACAAACTGAACCTCTGCTGTTTCTATTTTCTTTTCTTCATCTCTTGAAAATCCATACGCAAAAGCTTGCTTTGTGATTGAGAGAATTCGCCATTTAAGGGGACATTCTTCGGGGAATCTAACCGGCTGCAGACGCGTGGCCATGAATAACATTTCCAATAAACATTCCAGATCAAATCTTAACCCTCGATTCTAATCTGTCGAAACCATATTCCTGCATATTCAACATCCCTGTGGCATAATGTATATTCCTACAAATTTCCCCTAACACCCGACTGACGGTGTAAATCCTCTGACACGCTGATAATCTCTAACACCGACACAAGACAGGTTATTTGGGATCACACATGTTTAGAAAAGATCGCAGGAATAATCATGTATGTTCTTTCTTCTCAGAAAGAAAACTGTTCTCCGTGGTGGACAGTCCGTCCCAGCCTGCTGGGACAACGATGCTCATTGTCCGACAGACTGAGTCAGCTGTCACAAAGAATAGTTCCTCTTACCGTTTACCATCAGTCCATTTAGCAGCTCTCCTTTTGGCAACAGATTAAACTGTTTTTTGTAAAAGATTTATTAGATTATAAATAAATTATTTAACTATCAATTAGATTATAAGTAAATATATCCCAATTAAATTGTTTGATTATTATTCTTATTCTTATTATGTTACTGTTGTTGTTTATTTATTGTGTTGAATTAAAGTACTTTGAATTTAATTGAATTAAACTGTATTGATTTGAACCTAACAATGGGAAGCTGGGTCCTAGCCTGTTAAATAGTTTCATTTTCTAGGGAATTTTGTATGGGACTGAATGCGAAGCAGGTTTACTCTCAACAAAGAAAATACTATTTACAAATGAATACTGTCTACACCAAACACACATAAGACTATCGTATAAAAATATTTAAGATTAACATGGAAAATTGAAGTGCTCGTTTAATAACTGCTGTCCATATTCTGCCTCAGTCTGGAATTGCAGCATTTGGGGTTTCTACAGTGACTTCTAGTACTATGAAAAGATGGTGGAAGGTGTGAGATCTGTTTTTGGTCATCTAAGAGGCCCTATTGATGCTAAAATGTTCTGAGGTACTTATAGCTGGAGACAGGTTCTCTTAATTTTTCTGGAGTCAGATCTCATCTCTATCATCACCATCCATCAGTGTGTCAACACAATTGTGTCATCTGCAAACCTTTCGATCATATTTCGGTCAAAGTTTGACATTTTTCTTTGAGTCAGGCTTGTGTTGATGTTGAGGTTGACTTTACCCCTCTGTGGATGCTTGGTGATAGTTACTCATCCATAGACACCGTTGGTTTTCTGAACCAGCCTCCTGGGGCCTGTAGTACTAAAATTAGAAAAGAAGTCCACAAACAGAAATCAAAGACATGCCCACTTCAGTTTCATGAATGACAAGCCGTGTCCGGCTAAACTGAATCAACACCAGTGAAGATATGAAGAACATCACATTTTAACCTATCAGTTTGTCCAGCCACTTGAATGAAATGTCTCGGTCTTTCAGATTAAAACAAAACGATAGAACTGTAGTACTCAACATTTGAGGACAACTGTTCAATTAGAACAAGTAGAACATTGACGTATCTCATTCTTCACGTTTTTCCTACGTTGGGGGTAAAATAACAAGAAAAATTCTTAACAAAATAAGAAAAAAGAAATACTACAAGGTTTTGTGAGTCTCACAACGCAGTCAAATACTCAAAAAATCACCCACAACACAATTATTTCCCATAAAGGCTAAGATACAGTGATATTTATGGGTTTTTTGGGAAGCAGAATTGTAATATCTCCATATATGTTATGTAGAAAAATTATTAAACATGCGCATGCAGCATTACTTCCATGCTACCTAAAAAGTTTAACAGTTTTCCAGGCTTACATAAAACATTACAAAATTCTGATAGGAATGTAAAGGGTGGGGTGAAGGGAATACACTGTAAACGGTCACACACCAGATATAGAAGCCTGCTTGGTTACGGTTAGACTTAAAGGATACATGCTAATAAGTACACACAGCATTATGTTGCACCATGAAAACTGCTCCTAAATTCTTTACTGCTATCCTTCACCACTGCCAATTCCACACTATCTGTGTAAATTGCGAGGAAAAAGTCCTAATCAACAGCCTTTATCATTAGAACACACTCTCCAGTGTAACTTCATATATCCCATTTGCTTTCACTATCGAATACAGCCCAGATAAGCAGTTCTCTTAAGGCTTATTGTAAAGTGGAGAAAAATTAGAATGATGTCATTTCAATATGGATGTTTACTCATAGGGGGCTGGAGAGTGTAATTGCAGGGCAGGTATACTGAAAAGACTAAAAATGAAACTAAATAAGAAGATGATTTTTAATAAAAGCAGAGTATTTCAGGCCAGGATTGATGTAAATGAGAAAAGTATTTTTTATCTGCAATAATTAGCTTTCCAAATGAAAATCAAACCAAAACAATGGGATGTTCTTCAATTGCACCCACGGGCTCATAACAGTAGACAAGCCAAACCCACTCGAATTCTTTATTAATCTTTAATGGGCTCACACACATTACATGTGAGAGATTATATTTCCAGCACATACAGTAAGGAATGAGATAAGCTGCTGGTCGGTTTTTGGATTTTAAACACATACACACGTACGTACAAGAGGATAAGCTGGGATAATCGTCCAAGGCATCCAGGACGCCATCTGTGGCTTGAAATCTTTCAATTTATTCGGCTTAACCACTAGAGGGTAATGTGGGCTGCATTGAAAATGCAGGTTTTAACAGTCCAGAAAAGGGATGGACTGCTTTAAAAAAAACAAAACTCAAACAGGTGACACTGTATCTGGACAGAAATTATATTCTTTCATCAAATGAAAGAATCTACTTAGAAGTGGATTGACTCTTCTCACTAGTTGTGTGTAGGTGTTATTATAGATGGTGTTACACCAGTAAGAGGAATAGATGTTTTTCTTTTTTATGTTAATTCCATGAGTAAAAACTTATGACACAGTTGTCGAAAATCAGTTTGAAATGCACAACTCATCCAAAAGATAACTATTAGAGAAATGACTTACTGATTTCCCACTGAAGGGTAAAACACAATTTCCAAAACTTTGAAAACTTGAAACCAGTTTTTCTTTGGGTTTCCTATAAGAATATTTTCTAACTGGATAAATTACACTGTACTCACTGTGATTGTGAACTTATTTGAATGGATCTTTCATTGTTGAAAGGAGGTTGGAGTTTCCTGTATCCTCAGTCAGTCTCGAAGCCTAACTATACTTTCATCTCGAGAACACTCAAAACTCAAAGATCTTTCTTACAAATTTTTGACACCACGGCATGTTATGAAGTTCGTGCATGCTGTTGCCATCCCCAACACCCGCATAGATCAATCTAAAAATGTTTCCTGGATCTAACATAGTTCTGAGTTATCTGAGTCCAACCTACTAACTGGTCACAGTGGTAAAGCCTAATATATGTGAATATAATACTCAAAGGTCAAGTTGTTGCGTTAACACTGGAGATTGGGACCAGCCTGCTTGTCATGTGCACTCAATTTAAAAGCGGGCTTCTCGGATGGAAGTGGGAATCGCTGGTGTCCATGGGAGTGACAATATGCACAAAGTCTGGCTTTGGCCAAGGCACAAGTCAGCATGACATGTTCACTGTCTACAGGAATGCTGTTTATTGATGTACTAACTTGAAATTCTTCAGTTAAAGCGACAATCGAATGTTCACATTCTCTGAAACGTTTACAAGGTTTGTAAAATAGCTTATGGGATATTGAACAGGCCTTCATAATCCATACCGAGGAGTTAATTTTCTCAAACGGCACCACAAATTGTGGTTTTAGTAACTGTTTGTACGCTCATCGTGTCATTTGCCCTGTTGATTACCCTAATTAACCCCAAATCCCGAACTGAATCCCCGGGGGAACCGGGACCTTTCTGTGTGAAGTTTTCATATAGACGGATGGATGGATGGACGGAGGGATGGATGGTCGGATGGATGGATATTTCCTGCAATCCCTAAAAGTCATTGAGCGAATCTTGTTTTTTGCTTTCTTCCTGTCTGACGAAATATTGAATGACTTCAGAGTTTGCATCAGTCTATAAAACAAAACTATGGCAATTAAGAGACATGACTTTTAACTATTTTATTACACCTTTTTGACCACAGGATTATTCACTTTACAGGGAAAATGACAAACGTGCCATTACTTTGAATGATTTCAGTCATTCAGTGACTGTCTACTCACCTCTAGTCAAAAACAAGTCAGGCCAATAATGCCATCTGAGGTAATTGCGTAAGATATGAGCATTAGTTTGCCTGGGGTCTGTTGTTTTTTTGTTTTGTTTTTACGTTGCAAGGACTACAAAATACCCTACTAATTAATCTTCTCCAAGAAAAGGGGGAGGAGACGGAAGTGGGTGAGGGAGATTAGCTGCATTCCTCTGCTGCTGACAGATACCGTCTGCAGATCCCTGCTTTGCTGAGTCACCAATTGTCAGCCTCTATAGATAGTTCCACACCAGACCTCGGCTCGGCTCGGCTCAAGCTGATAATGCAAATGAGCAAACGCAGCGACCGCTGTTAATCTGAGCCAACGCTTTCCCCGCCATCGTCCTTTCTCTTCTCAGAAACAGCGGCCTTGGAACCGCGGCATAAAAAAAAAAAAGGCGGCTCCAGCCCGGGGGGCCGACTCGGTCAGTGGTGCGTCATCATGACGTTGTCGTCGTCTTCGGGCATGTAGAGCTGAGTCACAACGCGGACGTGAGAGATCTTCTTCACTGCCTTGTGAAACACCTGCTTCATGTCCCTCGATTCCTTCAGCGACATTCTTGAAGGAAGAAACACAGAAAAAGGAGACGGATAGGAGAAAACGAATTAAGGGAGGAAGGCAAAGAGAAACTTTCTACTCCAATAAAGACACGGATAATGACAACTGAAGAAATAGTTCAATATGTTCTATTTGATGTATGCTATTTGATCTGGAACCATGTGTATATCTCCATGTTGATGACATAGAGAGGTTCCAGTCTTGGATTGGGATATGGGTGGAGAATATTTTTTAGTCACCAGGAGCGAAAATTTGCCCCAGAATGACATGGCCTTGTTTAATCAAATGCAATGCCAGCTTCTTTATAAACCGGGCATCGTTGGGGAAATACCAATTTTGCTATCTACCAACATCTTGAACCATTCCTTCAACCATAGACACAGGGGAAACAAACCGTTCTAATTGTTGGAATCTACAGAGAGAGACGACAATAGACATGAAAACGAACGTGTCATGACAGCCAAAAACAGGAAGTCTAAAGTCTAATACACAGCTGAAGGCCATTATGTGAAATTTGCCCTTGGAATGAGAGTATGTCTTCAGGCAGGGTCAATTTTTCACAAAGTGCCTACGTTCCAGAGTCAACAGGGACCACACAAACAGACAAAAACACCGGAAAACAGGTCTAAATACATCACCATAAAGACGTAAAAGCCTCTTAACAGAGCTGGCAAAGGAGCTTGCCAGCTACCTGTTTGACATATTGGAGAAATATCTTTAGAGTTGATTTGATGTCATATATGCTGTGAAATTTCGATGCCATCCTTGCCACTGAAAACATCCATGCAACAACGTGGTCGACATAAAAGAAGCTCCGGGACATTTGAGTTAAGTCAGCACATTGCTGCTGCCGAACGGAAAGCTGGCCCTCCAGCGAATTTCCCCTCAGCTGGCTTTGAAAGTGCAAAGAGTTCGAAGTGAGCATTCAAAACTAAAGTTTTCTGCACAAAATAGCTGTTCGAACAACGGCGATAACAACAAGCGATAAGGTGAGCAGTTAAGGCAAAACATTTCCTTTTCATAACTTGTAAAGTAGAAGAACTGAGTTTTGTTAGTGACAAAAAGGAAGAGTTTTTTGTCTTATTTTATCTAAAAAATCCCGACATTTCCAACCTGAACGGTCTGTAGATGTCCCTGCTTCTGTTTGCACTTGTATCTTCACATGAACCACCTCAAAATCTGACAAGAATATCTTTTCAATAGCCAGCAGTAAGAAACTTCTGTTTGGACATGGGTAGTGGTGTAAACCTTTAGAGAGGGTCAACATCTCTAAAAGGTTCTCAGACAATAACGACCACTTAACGAAAAAGCTGTTTTCACCAGAGCCCAAAATATGACCAGCAGTTTCTTGCAGTGGCCAAAATTTCTCACCAAACTTTGAACAGGTTCTGTTCAAGATTCAGCACAAGTGCAAACAAACCACAGTAACACCTTGAGACGGTTCGTCCCCAAACTATGTTAGCCAAAGGACGTGTAACGTTGCCAACCAAGCCAGTAATGTTATACATTTTTTTATAATGCATAACATTACCTCAGTTTTTCTTCTTTGCAAGTTGTTCCTGCTGTAGTTTCTCAGCTTTCCGTTTCTTGTACTGGGCTATCTCGGCCATCTGCAGCCCGTGGGCCATTTGCCTGTTGAGACGAAGCGAACAGCATGATCACAGCACACACACACACACACACACACGCTAACACACATAGATACTGTAGTCCTGCAATAGCTTGCTTGAGGCCGAAGAACATATTAGCTGTTTGGTAGATTCATAGTCGTAGCCACTGCAGAGGTCCATAGTTTGTCACAGGAAGTGACCATAAGCTTTTCCTGGGATGTATCAATTCTTATAGAACCATGATCAAGAGATAATCCATCTTCCAATGCCATTGCTTGTGTTCCTGAGGCCTGGCGTAGAGTTGACCTGTTCTCAAAACTATGGGAGGGTTTTAGGCACAAGCATGGTCAAAAACGGGAGCTCCAAAAGAAGGTTGTTGAGATGTTGTAAAACTTAGAACCGAACTTGAGAAAACAGACGGAAGGTTGCTTAGTAAGATTAGTAAGTTTAGCAAGAGCAGGTTTCTGTTAACAATTATGTTTCTGAGCATAATTTTGTTACAATGGGTCTGGATACAACTAACATTAAACCTATCCATTTTTACTTGGTTCCTTAGCTTTACACAAAGGCTCATGGAAATATTCACGGTCTCTTGAAATGTAATCTTCCTTCTCTGAGAAATGCTTGGAAATGTTCGACGCTTTTATCCGAAGCAACTTTAATTCTCCCCCCTCTGGAATGACTGACGCGTTTGATCTTACCAAATGGCTCTTCTTGGACATGCTCCATTGGTCTGATTACTGAAGTTTGCTTGTGAGAAGCACCTGCATTTCCTGATGTCCAAACCAGCTTTCCCATAGGCTTAACCAGGTCGAATGGATGCATGTGCTGCAAAACGTCAAACTTCAACATTTGGAGGACACTGTGGTTTGAACATGAGTGAAGGCATGGGTCACCCTCAAATGCCCTTCTGTGAGAGGTAAGACTAAAGATTCTCCCCAAATAATTTCCTTTGGTGAAGTGTAGATTAAAGAAACTTCCAAGGTGACAGCTGGATTGTTGCTACGCACCATATCTGGTAGAACTGCTGGTCTCCAAAAGGGTCAATTGTTCTTGCATGCTTTTAACGATGCTTCATCCGTCATGGCAACTTATCTTTTCAAATAGACACTGATAATCCCTACAACTGAGGGCTGGAAGGCAGACAAGTGACTTTCAAAGAATATCTGTGATTGTGGTTAATAGGATATTCTTTCAAAAGACTCAAAATGAATATAACTGCAGATATTGTGCAATATTCATCACACTAGTACAGGAGTTGTCATTTCTGTACAGCTGTTTTTCTTTCAGCCTGCATTGAGTCTTCTCCATGCTTGGGCAATTCCCTTGATTTCCCAGGACTGTTGTTGGAGATGTGCATATACTTAGGGAACAGTGTACTGTTGACAAAGAAGTTTACTAAGGTAAAGATTAATTGCATTCTTTGCTCCTATTCAAACCACTTAGTAGATAAATCTGGAAAACAGATCAGACTGAGAAGAAAACCCGGAGTACTTTGAGCCTCTGAACCAAGTGCCAGTAATGGAAACTCTACAATGGCTACATGTGAAGACGAGATGGTATGGCTACTTGGAGAAAAAGAAAAGCCTGGGAAAGATTTCAAACCAGTGCAGGACTCAGATCTTAGAGAGAAACGAGAAACTGGGAATGGAGAAGATGAGGAGGATGGAGTAAGACAAGGGGAAAGACAAACAAATGGACGAAGATGAGGGACATGCATTCCTACCCAGACTTAAGTTCAGGAGGAATGGGCAGAGGTTTGGTAAATCCTTCCCTTCCCACAAGCCAATACGTCTCCTCTACTCCTTTCCCCTTCAGAAAGGATAAGGAGATAAATAAATTTCAATATTCCCTCCAAATCTGATCATGTTTGGCAAATTTTCACATTTTTTTACACAGGGTTGTACCTTTACTTCTGATCTGCCTCTTAACTCCAGTTTATACCCGGAATTAAGCTCCCGAAGGATCTTCACTGTACTCTCGTGGACGTGGATCCTGTAGGCTGTAGTGGGACAGTGCGTAAAAAGAGATAAAATCGTCCTGCCTCTTACTTTGATCCCACCATGTAATGAGCCTTTCTATCAGTTAGCTGCTAAATGGATTTTTAGAGTGCTGCTTCTCATAACTTACGCATCCCGCTGGATTCCATACGGGAGGCAGTGGTCACCGTGTCTCCGAACAGGCAGTAGCGAGGCATAGTGAGACCCACCACACCTGTCACACATGGACCTACAGTATAACACAAACAGGCACAATGCTCATAATTTCCCAGGCCATTGCATTGGCTTACATTCAATTCATAGATGTCCAAAAATAGGTACCCTCAAAGCTTTTTATGTCATAAACCAGCACACAAATAAAATACACATGATCTTAATATTTATTATTTTTCTTCCTCATTTTTTATAATACACTCTTGAGCAGTAACCCTTTTCTGGAAGTTTTACCTTTAGTAATATTGACTAGATAATTATTTTTTTGGTCCTGATGATTAAAGTAAAAGCTTAAACTCACGTGGGGGGAATATAGTTTTGACTGGACTACACTGTATAGTATCCAAATGGTTAAACAGTTTCTTCTTGATCCCTCTTTCCCTACCTGTATGCAGTCCTATGCGTATCCTCACAGGAACATCAGGCATGTGTCTCATTTTAAAAGTTCCTACAGCACTGAGGATGTCAAGTGACATGTTGGCTATTTCTGCAGCATGACGGTTCCCATTAGGGACGGGAACACCTGATGCCACCATATAAGCATCACCAATTGTCTCGACCTGGTTAATAACAAAATACAAAAAGCAACAAAACAATCATTTAAAACTTTGAGGATAGAAAAGAAGAGATGACGAACAGATTTTTATGAAATCACAATGTTACCTTATAGACATCGTGATTTCCGATGATGGCATCGAACAGTGTGTAGAGATCATTGAGGAGGTCGACCACCTCTATAGGCTCGCTGTTGGCTGAGATTGTGGTGAAGCCCACTATGTCGCTGAAATAGAGTGACACGTTGTCAAAATATTCTGGCTCCACTGTCCCGCCGTCCATCAAAGCCCCAGCCACCGACCTGGGGAAAGAAGTTTCAAATGGGAAAATGTGACCATATGAACTTGGACGGACACAAAAACAAAAAATAACCCTAGAAATTTGGATTTTTTACCCATCAGTAGCCAAAGGAATTGTATGCAACAATGTGAACAAATGCTCTTGAAGGTATAGTCCCCTCGTGTTTACTTTGATAAGATATTGTGTGTGTACGAGTGTGTCTAAGGTAACGTACGGGGGCAGCATCTGCGTTAGCAGCTTCTCTGTCTTCTGCTTCTCGATTTCCAGCTCTTCTGTGCGCTCCCTGATCAACTCCTCCAGATTCGAGGAGTACTGCTCCAGCATCCTCAGCATTGAGTCGATGATGTTGGTCTTCTTCCCCTTGTTGATGTTCTTAAACTTGACGGAAATGAGAACCCACCGTTCAACCAAAAAAACACACAAACACCAGTCTGTGGAAAACCTGAAATATCCAACAACCCATTGAACGTACATGGTCAAAGATCTCTTCAAAGCTGGGCCTCTTGTCTGGCTGTTCGTTCCAGCACTGTTTCATCAGCTGGATGCACTCCATCGGAGCGTAATCGGGACTGACCACGGGCCGACACAGAGGGGGAGGCTTACGGACCTTTTCTATGATTTCTGAAGCACACATGCACACATCAGCTGTTTTGTTTAGTATTAATACTTGTTCATCCGTGCAACATAAACATTTTAGACCACCTCCTCCCGACAACTTTCAAAGAGGTAACGTTTACACTATTGGTAATTAATGTTGGATGAATACACAGATACCATTCCGACTAAGGAGACAAAGACAAGGCAATCTGTGCGTCTTTTGATTTAAATGTAGTTAGAACAGCGCAGCTTCGAAGGACAACGTGTCAAAAATAGCTGAAGTCTTCAAGTAATTGACAATTTGAAAAGTCAGGACATGATCCAAAGCATTTTATTTGCAGTTCACTGTGTAAATATTATGGTAACCTGAGCAACAGGTTTTGTATTAAACAGAACAAGAGGGAAGGACATAGTAGCCAAAATGCCTTTATCTGGACTGCAGTGGGCTTATGGACTTCCTGGTTAGTTGAAAGCATTATGGGAGTAGCTCTGTCACTTCCCTTAAAGCCAAATCTAAATCCAAATCTACCAGTGACCAGCTAAAATGCTTTTCTCCATAAAAAGGGTCTGGTACAAAAAGGGGTGGTAGTTTGATCTTATTTTTAAAATCAGGGCTGGATTAGAAAATGTGTTTGTGTTAAGTTTGTATGCTAAAGATTGAATATTTTGTATCTAACATATGGTAATTCTACTCAGTAAAGTATACCTCAAAGGATTCCGACCGAAAAGCAGCCTATCAGTTTTCTTTTTCACTGACAAACCCAGCAACTATTAAGCCTTTTGAATTGGTTAAAAAAAAATAAAAAATTGACTTTTAGAATCTCCTGGCCTGAATTTCTCAGTCAGATCTGACTTTCACCAAATGAAAATTGGCAAAGTGTAAGCAACACTATTACCAAGCATTAAAAGACTAGTGTCTTTTGTGCTGATTTTGCATTTTTTTGTAGGTTGTTGGGGCGTCTTGCCTGCATCGGACTGGTCCATCATGCAGAATGGAGGCCCCCTGATCACCACTTCTTGCATGATGATGGCAAAGCTGTAGACATCCCCAGGTAGAGTCCCATAGAGCAGTGGCTGCCCACTCCTCAGGATCTCTGGGGCTGTCCACAGCAGCTCTGCAACAAACAGAAAAAGGTTTTTAAAAAAGTGGCACAATGTTTAAGATGCTATTCGTAGCTACAGAAGCCTTCCCAGAGTATGACTTTTCGAAGCTTCTACCTTCTGGACGTGGTTCAACAAAGGGGAACCTCTGTGACTCCAGGACCTCACTGTAGCCATAGTCTGTTATTTTTAGGACAAAGCGCCCGTCCACAACACAGTTACGAGACTTCAAACGGGTGTGACACACTCCACGGTGATGGAGGTACTTCATACCCTGAGAGAGAGAGAACTCAAAGGTAAATTCAATTTCTTTCGTCTAACCGATATCCCTATGAAGATTAATTCCTCCAAAAATATCTTCCAGATTTGAACCTTGATTAAATCCAGCAACAGAGAGGACTTGAACATCCAGTCGAGTTTGACATCTTCATTTAGCAGAAGATCCTCCAGGCTGCCTCTGGAGCAGAACTCGGTTACAATAGCAAAGACGCCGCAGTCATGGAAGAAGCCCAGGAAAAGGTTGACGTTTTCGTGACGCATGTCCTTCATCTTAATTGCAATATCAGGAAAACATAAACATTGCATTTCATTCGATATAAACTTTCTATGACAAAAATGTCCTCCCTTATGATACAATGTCATCTACAATGGTATATGTTTAAAAGTGAAAAGGCTTGAATCCAAGCCAAGCAGGTTTTTATTTTTTACCTTCTTCAAAAGTCCACAGTGTCAAATATGGTCTTAAGCCTGTATGATCCTTTGTCGTTGTAAAAATAAAGCAGATTTGATTGAGTGCATGCGCCTAACCTTAAAAGCCGTACTCTGAAATTGGACCCCTTATATCTTTTATTGCAACAGCGTGACATACCAGCTCGAAAACATCACTGGTTTTCGGGTTGATGCGACCAAACTTCCCATTGGGTAGTCTCTTCAACCATGCCCAATCCCCCTGGTGAAGAGCATAATGGAGGGGTAAAAAAGTTGAACATCTAATACAACATTTAGTCCCAATTTATGTGTCATACAAGTGATTTTAACTTGCAGAATCAACTAAGTGAGACACTTTCTTGTGACGATCTGGCTCCGCCCACCATCTCTCACTCACTCTGCCTGCAATCAGCGACATTGGTCGCACCTGTCCCGGTCAGTACAAATATCCCACTCACTCACTCACCTGTGCCAGAACGTCTCTAACCTAATGTACGAGTCTTCCAGCGTTGTTCCTGCCTGCCTGCCTGTTACGTCCTGTTCGTCCCCGACTCCGAGCCTGCCTGCCCCTCTTCTGTCTATCCTGCTTCGCCTGAGGTTGCCTGGTCATACTCAGTGCCTGCCTGCCCGTGCCCCCGACCCAGCCTGCCTGACTCCGCGCTCCCGCCTGATCCTCTGGACTGTTTCCCCGGCCTCGACCCCTGCTCGTCCCTGGACCCCGTTTTGGATTACCCCTCTCGGATTGTTGCTGCCTGACCACCCCCTCTGGTTTGCCCCTTTAATAAACCTGTTCTTACTGACCGTCTGCCTCCGGGTGTTTTTGGGTCCTCCGAGTCGTACATTACATTTCTTACACATACAAATTGAACCAAAACACTTATTAGACAACATGCAAGATGGTTTATCCTCACTTTGAATCACTCATGTGGGCATATGAGTATAAACCAATCTTTTGGACTCTTCTCATTGATGGTTGTTATTGCACAGCTAAGATATTCATCCAGAGGATTGCTGAGAAATACAAGGGAGATTAATGTCCACTATGTGTCCAGCGATAAGATGAACTTCCTCGAACAGTCGCTACATGCATGAAAATGTTTTCCTGTTCTTAGATTGCCAAACATTTTGAAATGACAAGAATGGAGTTAGACACAGAGGATGGTAAGACACCCAGTGGTATGGTTAGATATGGTAAAGTAGTTCTGTTGGTGTGAAAAGCAGAGACACTGGGAGAGGTGTATAGGTTTAATGGGAACTGGTCATTTGTGGTAAAGATTTGTTTCTGTTGATATTGATCTACTGAAAGGCTGTGCTTCGATCAGAGATTAGAGCAGGACCATGTGTATACATTTAAGAATATACTGTCCCCTAGTCTTGACACCAGCCTTGTGATGGACTGGTGACCTGTCCAGGATGTACCCCTCTTCTCACTCCAACACCCCATTCCACTGACCCTATTAAGAATAGGTCTAATAGTCTTGATACTACTTCAATGTCCGTACTCCTACTTCTTGTCATCAAAAATAGCCTTTTGACCTAAGACTGTCAGGAGCAGAATTGTTTCTCTATCATTTGTGAATGTTTGTGAGTAATGTGATGTTGTACACTTTATTGTACACTAACTGCCTTACCTCAAAAATGACAACATTGGAGTTTTCGTAAGTCGCTGGGGACTGGGAGGAGACGGGTGTGTGGACGCTACGTTCGGACATGCTCCTTCCAGCACTGGTCCTGCTGTCGTCCAGACTCAGCTTCTGAGGACAGGGAAAGCGTGTGCCTTTTGTTTCGTGAAAAGAGCTTTTCCAACTGTCTGTGAGTGGACTGATTTTGGGCAGATAACGTCAAACGTACGATTCGTAGCGAAAACGAATAAAGCAAGACACTAACAATGTGACAGGTAAGGGCTGACCTTGTTGCTAAGCGATGGGTTAATGAATGTGACATCGTCAAGAGTCAGCAAGATCTTGTTTGGTCCTCTAACCAGTCGAATCTGATTGATGCGCCGCCTAGGATTCAGTAGGCAAAGGAGTGGAATACACAAGTGAAAATAATCCCAATGTGTGTGTGTGTAAATGCATATACACATATATATGTATACATAACACATGTGTTGGTAACTTGGTGGTGTACCTGATGCAGTACAAGAGAGCCACTGCAAAGATAGACGCCACAATCGAACCAATGAACATGCTGAAGGTCAGAAACAAGTCCACACCTGCCAAAGAAGAAATGTAATATTTGATGTCATCTCAGTACGAGAAAGATAATTTTGTAATGTGTGTCTTGTGTGTGAAAGCACATGTCAATAGAAAATAAAGAAGTGTGTATGTGTGAGTGCGAGTGGGGCTGTCCCTCACCCCCTGAGCAGATAACTCCAGGAGTAAACCAGCAGGCGGCATCCCTTTTGGGTCCATAACCTTTAGGATAGTGAATGTCTTGACCCAAGAAGCGGACCATGCCCATCTCCATGTCGATCCTGTTGTCAGATCAGTGGTTAAATTTGTGTGATTTATTTATATCATCTTGCTTTATTAGGATCGTAACAGATATGACTGTAACATGACGGTGAACTTTCTCTAGAGTAGTGGCCATGAATAAGGTTGTAAAAACTACAGTTTACACACAGAAATGAAAGATGGTTCAAAGATTTAATTCAGCATAGTGAGGAGATGATGATTTCGAGTAAGTTTACATCAGAGAAATAGTGCCAGAGAATCTGTATCAAGATGATGTGGGAGTTTGACCTTTAGGTTTATAATAAGATCACCAGCTATACCCTGACCACACAGTAGCTAAGTGATAAGGGAATGTATATCTGAAGGTTTCTTCACTGACAGCTTAATTACTTAGCGGCTCTTAAAAAAGCTTGTCGCACACAATAAAACCTTCAACATTCGATCTCAGCCCGCATTTACTTGTAAGTTGCCGTCAGCTTCGGGGAGAGTCCATCCGTGTCCAGTATGAGGTAATCCAGCTGAGTCTCCCCAGTGCTGCTGGTTTTGATCAGGTGACTGAAGCCCTGAGAAGTAAATCAAATGTGTGTTGTCCGAGATACTGTCGATTTCCTTTCGTCATTGCAAGGTGGAAACCGACAAAGAATGGTTCCACAGTTGGGCTCCTCATTTAAATGAGGAGTTTTCACACAAGGAGTTGTCACTGTTATGTTGTATATGTATTCATGATCGAAAAGCTTTTCACTTGTTAAACACAAAGGTGCGTTTTTTGGTTTGAGTCCGCCTCTGTCTCAGCGAAACAGAAATTCTGCAACTCCAGAGCAGCTTGTCACTAAAGTGGACCTCACCATCATAAACTTTCAGTATGTTTCCCTGAGACGTGATCCTTGTAAAATGGAACAGTTTACCTATCTGCAGCCACATGAAAATTCTTAAGAAATCCAATGAATTTGTAGAAAATGACACATTAAGACGAAATTCACGGCAAACAACACAATTACAGATTCTTCTTGAGGATTATCACTGTCCTCTCTGTACCTGGAAGTTCAGGTTCCGGACACGTTGTGCCAGATTTCCACCCGACATCCTCTCCTTGGCCTCCCGTACATGATGCACTGCGTGAGCCATGAACAGAACTGAGTTGTAAATTGTTCCAAACAGAGGAGACACCTGCAGCAAAGACAAACACAGATGTTATCGGCTATTTTTTTGTGCGCACAATTTGATGATACACTCAAGAGCTATTTCAAAAACAATTTACTCCATGCTTGCCTGCTGGGGTTTGAGCGTCTCTGCCACCTCTCCCCTCTGCATGGCCTCTCTGTAGGCCTCGTAGAAGGACACCTCAGGGGAGTCGATGGTGACAGTCAGCACGGCATCGTAGGCCCGCAGCAGTTTGCTGTTGCTCTTCAGAGCCGGGTAGGTCACATTCCGGTAAGGTAGGCTGTAGAGCAGGGTGTCATAGGGCACAAACACCAGGGAGCCGTCGATCATCTGCATGTCGTAGGCTGTTTCCAAGAAGAGCTTCTGGGCTGGGCCCCCGATCAGCGCAGAGTGCATGCAGAGGACCACAGCTGGAACAGGACATCACGATGAGTTTAAGGACTTGTCTAGTCAAGGCTGGATTTCCTATTACTGTCATGGATCCTGGGTGTATTTTCATTGCGTCTGTCATATACAAATTTTCTACTCTGTGCTTAAACTTCCTGATCCTCATTCGACCAGTTTGGTTGTTACAAGTGTCTTCTTGTCATAAATCACTGTCATGTTTACTTTCGTTGGTTTCTAGGGTTTTGTTTCTCGTAGTTTGGTTTTCTGTTTTATGGCTCCATCACTGTTTTTATCCTAGTTTTTTTATCCTGATCCTTGTTAACTACCTTACAGCCATGACTATATCTGGATCATCTCCCTCCCTTTCATCTTTTCATGACAGGTAAGTGGTTCAACTCCATGTTCCTCCAGGCCACATGTCGAAGTGTCCTTGGGCAAGGCTCTGAACCCCAAGTTGCCTACTGGTACATCCAGTTTTGAGAATGGTGACTGACATGTAGTGTAAAGTGCTTTAAGTCGTCAGCTCGACTGGAGAGGCGCCATGTAAGTGAATTCACATTTACATATGCTAATAGTACATGCTTATTCTTAGTGGGTTCAAAGGGACACCCTGAGCGGGTGACCAATCTTCACATTCATCCATAGGGGCTGATTGACTTAACAAGCTTGACTCTGGACTGTGGCAGGAACCTGGAGCACCCAGAAAGAACATGCAAACTCCACACAGGAAGGCCCCTAGGAATTCAAAGTGGATGCTAATTATCACACCACCATGCCACCCACTAAACTCTTTAACAGCCAAAATTCTAATAAGGACATTTTACAAATGCCCAAAAGGAGGACGCACATAGGATGTTGCCACTGAGAGTGAATCAGCCATACCACGAATTTGTCCCATCTTGCGGATCTTTGTTAGAGTTCGCCTAATGCCGTGAGGTGTGTTTTCCATCACGCTGACTAGTCTGACTGGCACACCATGGCTTCTTAAGGATTCAGCCACCTAGGGAAGACAAGCAAACACGGACCTTGAGGAAAATCATGGAACAAATGTGGTTTTTGCAATGATCTTAACTCAGTTTTCTTCATTTATAGCTGTCAATCATAGCGACAGCAATCATGACAAAATTTAGAGTTTTAAAATAATGAGCATTCGAACCTTAGTTGCTGTGTCCACCCAAATGTCCTCGGAGGAAGAGATGATGCCGATGTGAGCCCACCTGAAATAGCTCAATATGCTGTGTAGCACTGAGGTGGACCTCCCCATGGTTCGAGCAAGAGTCGGATGGCTGCGAACATCGTCCAACTCGTAACCAACACAACTCCAAGGAAACAGTGCCTAGAAGAAGAAGAGTTATGCCAACCTGCTCCTTAACCCCCCCCAAAAAAATGTGTGCATTACACTTTAGACCTACGGATAACTAACATTTAATATCCATGCCTATATCCAAAATCCAAATTATATCAAATTTTCTCCAGATAAGTCAGCTTACTTTATTCCAGCCTTTACTCAGCATCGAGGCAGCATCACAGTAACCAGGGTTGGCTGGTCCAATGTACCCTGACGCCTTAGTGTGGAAACCCACAAATGCCTCCAATGCCCTGGATGTTTCACAAGGCTCCTATGAAAGAGATACTTCATGTGTCAGTTAAGCATTTAAAAATGACGAACTCCTTCAACAGACCAACAAAAATGCAATGAACACGCTGAAAAACTGATGAAGATCATTCAGTTTTTAAACAGACAGACAGATACACCATATAATAAATCATTGGTATATTAACAAAGGCCCCTTGATTGCCCTTAAAGAAACTTTTACGTGGGATGGGCGTAGAAAAAGGGAGGTTTAAAATTTGTTAAATTTGTTTTTTTAAGCAAAAAATCACCTTCTAAACCATTGTATACACAGGATTGTCCAGATTTTCTTTGTGGTTAGTAACTTATAACCACAAAAAATGACATTTTCTAATACATTTCGTAGCTTGCTACTGATAAGGAATAATATAACCCAACTCCCATTGCCAAAGAGGACAGACTATTTCTTTTCAGGAGGGTGAAGGTGAAGTCCAAGGAGTTATACCTGCAGAACAGTATAGTCAAACGTCACTGCGTAGGACAGCGAAGGGTCCTTGTTGATGCGATTGACAGCCAGCTGTGCCGCCACATTAGGAAGGGCCTTGGCAAATAGAGGATCGCACCCCCACGGTCCAACTACTCCCACCCGGAACCACCCTGCCTGTGCTGGCTGCAGTAGAAAACAAAGGAAGGCCAGGAGAACCAGGAGGGACTTCAGGTGGCCACGGAGGGATGAATGGAGCAAACGGTGGAAAAGGGGTGGAGAAAAAGTGGGAGTCCAGTGGTACGAAAGTGACAAAGAGGATGACAGGGAGGAGCTGGACAGAATCTGGTTGACTGGAGCTGGGGTAGGGGTAAGTCGAGTTTGATGAAGAGAAAACGAGGAAAAGTCGACATCGGGAGACGTGTTCAGCGTTGGCCTCCGTGTCTGAGGTAAGAAGTTGAAGGCATGGCTCTGCTGTTGCATCTTAAGGCTCCCCACTTCCAGAGCTCAGTGGAGGGTGGGCGAAGAAGATCCGGAGTTGCTGCTCCCCTTAAATGAGAAATTGGAACGTGTTTGACACGGAAGACAATTGAACTTGCACATTCTGTGTTGGATCTGTGCCTACAGTTGTTGATCTGCCACCTGGGGGCAGCTTTTGGAGCATCTGGAACCATTTTTAGCAGCGAACTTCATTTTATGGACTCCAGTCTCGGAACTCTGGTCCTCCAGGGCAGCTTTTCTAAAGGTTTTGGATTTTTCTAAGCTTCGACACAACTGATTCACGTCAATGCGCCATCAGCAGGCCTGTGCACAGCCTAAAAAATGTTTTGGGAAAATCCATTTAATCAGAATCGGTTGCGTTGAAGCCAGAAGATTTAGAAAAACCTGTCGGACAGCAACCCTCGCGGACCAGTTTGGCACCCTGCAAAGTGACCCTGTTCTCTTGAGTCAGTGTTAATGACTGCTACTATTATTACCACAACTACTTTACCACTTCTACAAGTAACAATGATAATGATAAATGTTATATTGATCATAACATGTGTACATAACAAACACAATTGTGTTTATCCACTTGCTCATTGTAATATTTAACCTGTTACTTCATTAACCCCACTGAAATCAGTGAACCAAATCCTGTTATACTATTATCTAACTATATTATATATTATTTTGGTTTGACTTGACATTGAGATTCTGACAGGCTCAGTATCCTTTTGAATGTTTTACAATTGTTTCAAATAATCCTTAATTTCTCAATCCCAGTAAAGTTTATACAAGTTCAAATATTTATTCAAACTTATTCAAAGGAGACTAAATACTTAAAAACTGTGAGATTCTCAATGTTCTTTTGTGTAGAATGTATTTGGTCAGTTCAAAATCCATAGGGCTTCTTTTTTTTTTTTTTTTGCTTTTCTTCCATAACTTTATTTATAATTCTTCCATCAACCACACCTAAAAAACTCCACCTGCTTGACTGGCAGTGGTCACATTTCGTGCCCATCTTTTGACAGGTGTGCTAAATTCAGCTTTCTTTTGCCTATGATTGATTCAAAGTCTCCTACCTTGCATTGATGATATAGACAGGGGTTTGGTGTGTCTGTGGCAAGCCTTCGAACCCAGACTGAAACAGTTTCAGAGTGTTTCATCGCTTTTCTTTATCTTCTATGTCCAAAAATAAATCCTAACAAGTTTTCCTTTTAATATCGCCTCTGCGTTGAACTGTGTCACCGCCGATGCATGTTAGTCTGGAGAGGCTTTGCTTCTGTATTTGTGAGTATGAGATGACCTGAACCATGTGTGTGACCTGCCCTGTCAGATTATATCAAATCCAATCAGGATCTTTGTAGCTACAAGCTGCTCTATGTGAGCAGGTGAAGTGAAAGTGGTTGTCATCATAGCCATAGTTGTCCTCCAATAGTCAGCCGTTCATTTTAGTCATAACCTAAGCTTGGAATCTGCACGCCTGTGGTCTTGTGACCAATTTGTAAAACCTGCAAAAAATTATGAATAAAAAGTCCGTAATCCAGAGTATCTTCTCACCAACCAGCCATATTTATAGTTGACGGAGGATTTACCTTAAGAGATAATACTGGCAGGGCGGCACGGTGGTGTGGTGGTTAGCACCATCGCATCACAGCAAGAGGGTTCTGGGTTCCAGTCCCCGGGGGAACCAGGACCTTTCTGTGTGGAGTCTGCATGTTCTCCCTGTGTCTGCGTGGGTTCTCTCCGGATTCTCTGGCTTCCTCCCACAGTAACAAAAACCCGCATGTTGGGTTTATTGGACATTCCAAATTGCCCTTAGGAGTGAGCGTGATTGTGCTTGGTTGTTTGTCCTTGTGTGTCTCTGTGTGGCCCTGCCATTGACTGGTGGAGCTGCATGGAGCTTGATAATGTGATTTATGTGATCGTGACATTCAGTATACAAACTGAATGGATGTACAGGAAAGAGGTTGGCTGAAAGTACAGATGGACAGATCCCAATAAGGAAAATACAATACATACTGACCCAAAACCCACAAAACATGATGTAGTGAGTGTAAATTAAGGCTTAACAATCAAAATCATAACTAGAATTCTAAAACCAAGCTTAGACCCGTCTGTCACAGAACAGGAGGGCAGGATGAAATAAACTTCTCCATCTATCATGAGGATTTTACAGTCAACAGCAGGCCAAATGGGCACGAGGAATGTAACAGCACATGTGGTCCGAATCTGAGTATTCCACAGTTTTATGTATGAACATGTGTATTTTTATAACAGCTCTGGCTGTGTTTAACAGATGTCTTGGTAGGTATTTGTAATAAAAATATACTTTTACATAACCTCAGCTATGAAGCATCTATACCAGTCAAACGTATTCTACAATAACCTTTTCTTACAATAACTCCTAATTTGTTTTCTTAGGCTTTAAATCATATAATTATTTTTAAAAAGAACATCCCGCTATTTTGCATCCAACTTTATGTGAATGTATCAGCTTGCAAATGCAATATGAAATGCCTTATTTTAGTTCTATAATGACTTCTTTTAGAAAAATATTCTTAGGTTCATACCTGTAGTTTTCTAAAATGTTTTTCAATTCTTGTTCAATGTCCATAAAACACTAAAAATAGAAAGAAGAAAACTATAATTAACTTGTATGCGATACCTTCATAACCTTGATATTTTTCTTGATTTTTAACCACCACATCAACCCATGCTTTGTGTCAAAACTATTTATCTTAATAGACGAAAAGCTGACCATTGTTTTAATGTTTTCCTTAGATAAAACTCCATTGTCTTCAATCGTAGAGAGCTTCTGTGAAAGCTAGAGGGCAGCAGAGTACAGAAACCTCTCCCGCCACTGCATTTCTTCCAAGGAAAACCGACACTACCTCTATCCAAATGAGGCCAACTTGGAGCAAATTCCACCAGCAATGGTTTGCTTTTCTGCTCTCGTTGAGCCCGCTCCTTCAGTTTGAGGTCAAAGTTTGTAATTGTGAGTCATCTGCTCATATCTACGGGGGGAAACGCCACCGCTTTGGCCTGATCTTTGGCCTCACTCATCATAGTTTCCCCTTCATTTGCCTGGGCTGACACTCCACGGTTTGGAGGTATTGCTTCCATCTGTTTGAAAAATAACATTCCAGCACCCCGTAGCAGTCCCTCTCCCTGAGTTGGACTCTGTTAAAACCTGAGACAAATCAGTCCAGATGTGAAGTTTTAACCTGCCCTAAAAAGCTTCTGGCTGTTTACACCGACACTGCAGCACACATCTAGACAAACACATGCACACACACACACACAAACATGCACATGCAAAGTGTATTCTTATGGGTTTGTGCTTTTTTTCTCTCTTTTTTTTGGGCGATTCCACTCCAAGTTTGCTCTGCTTTAGGCAATTCGCAATACTGTGCCCTATTTGAGGCTGTACTGCAAGTAAGTGGGGGTTCAAAGTCTTTACAGAAGACACCTTGGTATCTAGCCAGGGATCAAATCACCGACCACCATCAGGAGGCAAAAGCTTCTACCCCTGAGTGACTAGTAATACAGGAAACAAAAAATTTATAATAATTTGAAGCATCTTAACCAGCTAAAAGGAGACTCTGTTAGAAAACTCCCCCAAAACAAAGTTCATCCGCAGGTGACGGTCCCATCCAAACGTCTCCTTATATCCAGGTGTCGACAGTTTCTGCCAGGAGCGACCCTTTGAATTGATCGCGAGCTCTTTCGTTTCTGAAAAGCCATCAGTCTTCATGCAGCCGGCCTCTTTGCGTTTGCCGACTGAGGGCTTGTCACGCTCAAGACCGGCCGGCACCACGGCCCCCCCGGAGGTGAGGAGGGTTTGTGACGGTTCAGCCGGGACCAGGCGAGTTCTCACGTTCCCTCAGAGGGGGACAGCGAACCGCATACAGGCATCTTTTCCGAGAAAACAGCCAAGCCCGAGGCCTTGCTGGGCAGAAGTAGTGGTGGGAGGCTGGTTATGTGTTAAACACCAACATCATCGGGACTGGAGAACCTTTGCTGTTGCCATTACCAGTTACTTTGGTCATGTTTAGCCCTTTAAAGCCTGATCCAAGAAAAATAGGAAGAATATTGGATTTTTGTAGTCTGAAGTCTTTCTTTGGGGTCTCAACAACATATGAAGAAAAAAAAACTAAAAAACTAAAATTATTTTGATCAAATTACGTGCAATAAGTCAAAAATATATTTTCGTGTAGTCTTCTACTCGCTGTTATCAGGTATATCTGAATGTGTACAACAGGGATTTTAGCAAAGCTTTAACCACTGAATGATGCAGAAGGTCTCAGATCAGGGTTAGGGTTACATTACAGGGTTAGGCAAAAAAACAAATCTATTCTTTTAAGATTAGTGAATGGCAATTGATTGGCTTTAAATGCTTTTAACAACTGAGGAAAATAGGATCTGAAAAGCAAAGTGACATAAACAAAATGTATATCTATAAATAAAGATCCATACACACTCACATTTGTAACCCTAATTGATAAAAGAAAGTTGGACAATAACATGTCAGCGTGTTGAGAGTTGTTGGGAGCTTCTGTGAGGAACCTCAGAGATGGCCTCTTGTCAGGAATTTCCTTTTTCCTTGAGGATCAGTTTGATAAATCAGCGAGTATAACTCAACCCCCAACTCCCTGCTGGCCGCCTTTTTATCTTGGGAGTGTCGGAATACTGACCTTGCTGAAAAGGCAAAATCTATCAGACACAGTCCGAAACTGATTGCAAAAGAACACTGACACACAGCCTAACCGGCGAGCCTTTTAGCAACTGTTTGCCGTCTCAGTGTTGTCAACGTATCAGATTGTGTGCGAGGCATAAATGGATTTCGAATACATCAAAAGACATACACAATCAGAAAGTTGCCATGGTGGCTGTTTATTTGCTGTGGTAACTCAAAAACCTCGGGCAGATCTCATCTCAGTATT